TATATTTGTGGTCTGGGTTATTTGGAAGCCCTAAAAAATAGGTTGCATATAAACATTACCTAAACCATAACATAATAAATAAAGTAAAGGACCTTTTTCCACGCCCTCAGGCGTTTTGGGTATATAGGGCTAGACCTTCATTTTACAGCCCAAACGGCACTTGGTGGGTGATGTGGTCAGCATCACGCCGGCCGCCTTTACTTCCCAAGGCTGTACCTGGTACCCACTCAAGGCTGGGTCGACCCAGGAGCCAAAACAACATAATAGTTGTTTAAAAAATAAATATTCTGGACAATACTAAATGGGAACCGGGCACCAGCTATTGGTTCACCGAGTTGAGAGCCTCCTGATTCGACTTCAACATTGAGATAGGATGACTAGTGTACAAGTAATTCCATATCAATGAAAACGGCACTGGAATGTAATTCAAGAAATATATGTCTTAGATGGTTTATCCACCCTGTCAGCATCTTCTGACTTCACAGTCTTAAGCCTTCAAACTGCTGCCTCCCCCAAGCGTTCACCGCCTGTACAACCTTTGTGAAAGTCCTGGTTGTTCATTCACTTCGGAACTTTGGTCCATTTTCAGGATTTGGGTGTTGCAGGCACGTCTATTTTACAGATCTGGCTTATTTTATGTGCAGGCTGTTGGTTCCTTGCAGCTTAGCCAGAGAAAACGTCGGTCGTTGGCCAGGCCCCCTGTAGGAAGCTTGTGTCTGGGTGACGACGAAGAGGTGTAGATAGGGCTTGACAAGCGTGAACTTTGAACCTGTTGCACCACGACGTGTGGCTCAGCACCTTTGCATCCCAGGCATCTTCTGACTTCACAATCCTGAGCCTTTAAGCAATTTTTTTCTTTCCCTTCAAACCCTATGAGGTGGCCTGCGATCGGCACTTTTTTTTCTGGTGGTACGCAACGATTCGCAGTACCGTCATGATTTGTTGAGGCATTTTTTCCCCAGCACCACTTAATGGACACTTGCCCGGCTCTCTAGCCTAGTTGGCTAAACGGGATTGCGCGGAGACCGGGTGACGAACTCCTTGTGTTCCGGGTTTAATCCCGGGGGTAGGCAGAAAAGCCACATTTCTCCCAGATTTACGGTATTTACAATGGAATCAAGACCGAAAGGTTGCGATATCCATAATACCAGGTCTAAGGATTAAGAACTCATGTCTTCTGGATACTAAAACAAACAAATGGGCACTTTGTGATGACGGCACCGTTTTAAAAAAAAAAGTCATGCCTGCAGCATGAATACCAAGAACGCAACTTCTTTACTGGCTGAACGCCCACAGCGGGTGCTTGCTATTGAACTTTCATGATTACTGTTATCTGTCCGTAGTTTCTGCCGGATGACCATCCGTCTTGTTTCGTCTTTCTGTGCGCTCGGACACGCACAACGGAAACGCTACCGGCTGAAGATAATCTGTCAGCTTGGGCCAGCGTATGAGGGCGGTTCAAGATTTGATTACGCACGCACGTTTCCCGCCAACCTGCGCGAGACAGGTTTAGTTCTGGCTCCGTACACTGCAGTCTGCAAGTTCTCATGACGAATCAGGAATGGTTACTGTAAATGTTTTTGCCTTTCTGACTGAGAAATATATCATTATGCTAATTGCGAATGCGGTGTGTTTTGTTTATTAATAGACATTGTGGTTAGGTAAGATTAGATTACAACGTGTGGATTAGTCACTTAACTGTCATTTAAAAAAAAAGTCAGTTGCGTATTCTTTACAGGACGTTGCAGAACCAACCCAAGCATTTTTATGGCTGATGCGGTTTTTCCAAATGTTATGTTCAGTAGTTTGCCACTGCTTTCTAAACGGTCAGCTCTTGGTACCAGTATCACAACCAAAGCAAGACACATCGTCCGCAGCTGGGATCGAATCCGCCACCCCGGCATTACGAAGCGCGTTCGCAACGCCTAAGTCACAGAAGCCGACAACTGTGTAACTACTAAACAGTTTTGGTCTCAGCTCCTTTTCTCACAAAGAATTAAGTTTAGAGACACACACAACAACAACAACAACAACAAAAAACGCATGGGTCTGACGGAGTTTAACACAGTTTAACTAGTTATTCAGAAACCCATCGGGTGATCATAATTCTGTTTTCACCAGACTGCTTTTTTCGGCGTGTCCCTGTCGTCGAATCGGTACTCGTCAATTGTCACGTTTTATACAAATCTAGAAACAAGCTAGAGAAAAGAGCATCTGCCCGTTTACAGCATGGCTGTGATATTTGCGCCTTTCTACTTCTGCGGGCATGTCTTCCCATGCTAGTCTTCCCTGGAGTTTGATATAATTCGCGTGTTAGAGTAGATAGTTTTTTTTTTTTTCTCTCTCACTAAGATGAATGTTCTAATTTAGCAAGTGAAACACGGTAACCATCAAAGATGCAAAGAGCAGATAACAGAGAGAATTAGCAAATAAATTCATAATTTGTTTTAATCACATGTAAAAAAAGGGAATTGGGGGGGGGGGGGGGGGGGGGGGGGGGGGGGGGGGGTGTGGGGGGGGTGGGGACCACGTCACATTTTCTCTACTCTGATTTAGCTGTTTATACTTCAATAGGAAATAGCAACAGCGCACTCGAATCTGGCCATCGATCTTCAGCGAAATAAGTACCGATTACAAGTGTCCGCCGCGGGAATAGACCATGATATACCGAAGAGGGTAAACGGACATCGGAATTCTATATCCCCCAGACTTTTCTGGCGCTTTCCCAATTTCTTGGCCTGCTGCAGGGATTCCCAAGCGGTGTGGCGACAGGGGCCACAGGTGCGACATTTGATTTAAAACACGAAACACGCTTGGATACATTGGGAAGGGGGGTAATTTTTGGGTTTGCATTACTGCCTGAAGAAAATGAAGTGAACCGCTGGGGTCTCGCGGCTCGACGCTCGCCTGCGGATCAGAAGGTCGTAGGTTCGGTTCTTGACGGGCCCGGACTTTTTTTTATCTTTCAAAAATGACCTTGGCTCCCAGGTCGACCCGGCCTTGAGTGGATACCAGGTGCAGTCCTGGAAAGTAAAGGCGGTGGCGTGATGCTGACCACATTACCTTAACGAGTGCCGTTTGGTCTATAAAGTATAGGTTTAGCCCTATATACACAGTATTACCAGAAAGGCATGGAAAGGGGTCCTTTACTTGTTTACTTAGTTAGCTGAAGGATGTAAGGGACTGTTTCTTCTTCTGAACTCGCTCTTACATTTGCGATTATCACGCTGCGCTGAGGTTTACAGCAGAGCTGCCAAATCGGCGCTTTTTGGACCCACACGTCCGATTTCAGTAAACCTCTGATTAGTCGTCTTTTATGGCATGCTTATTAATGGACAGAGGTTTTATCGTATGTCACAAACATGTGCTATATGAAATCCTTTATACATGAAATATTGGTTTACTTACTTCTGTTTCATAATGTAACCGTTGAGCTCATTCTAAAATAGATTGGGAAAACATAAAGTATAGCATGTACAAGCTTCATGTGACCAATTACAGCAGACGAAGGACGTTGTGGCGATTAGCCCTTATCAGCTGAGGCAACGAAAAACAAAACACAACATAGAATGAACAGACTCTGAAATTACTACATTATAGTACTGAAATATTGCGTTAACCATATATAATTACATATTAAAAATAAAAGTACAAAATTATAATAAAGTATGCGATATTTACCTGGATCGCTGCTAGTTGTATAGTTCTGTTTAATTAATTGAAACACACGTATTTATTTATTATTTACGACTTCCGGTCCAATATGGAGGACTAGGCATGGCAGAATGTTTAGCTTTGAAAATATTTTGTGTTCTGACAGCGCTTTGCTAATGTAGTTTTGTCATATGATTTTCACTGGCATAAGAACGGAGCATGTACGGGGTGACTCGATTGCAGTAAAGGTGAAACCTCGAATAAGACTAAAACTAAGTCTTTATTATTGCTTTTAATCTCAACACAGTGGAATATAATGTGCTAAAGTAATAACCGAGCGGGGGTTAACTCTTTAAGTACCACAAGGTCTCGCAGGAAATGCCAAAGTAAAGAAATAATCGTGACCACAAAAACAAACACAATTAATAAATATATTACTTTAAAAGTGGCAATATTCATACTAGTGGTGACTTTTGGAAAAGCCTGATTTTTTCCTCTCGGATATTCTCGGGCCAAATATTATAAGTGACAGAGCACATTATGTTATTTATTATATAAGTGTGTATAGGGAAGTCATGGGGTAGAGTCATTCACACCTCAGGCCGTGCTGGGACTTGCTTGGGAACAGTTTGAGAACCGCTGGTGGAGATTCTAGTGTATTGTTGTGTCTCCAATGAGATGTTGATTGATTTGTGATATTTAATTGGGGATTTTTCTCTTGAGTGATGTAAAAAGAAACGGCTCTAAAACGTTTATTGAGGTTGTCGATTGTGTAGTTTTTTGCCAGCATTCAAACTTAAAGACTGTCGGATAATGTTGCAGGCTGGAAATAAGAGAGAGGCCTACCATTTGTGGCTGTTTGATTGAAGTGTGGAATTTGATCGCTCGTTGGATGAGTAGTAAGGTTTTATTTGTGGTGGAGCGAAGCTACCCTTGCTTGCTGAATGTCAGCTGAGGTAGAAGATAAGAAGAAACTTCTAGAAATGGGTTAATGTGGATGGACAGGCAGGTGTGATGTCTAGGGGAAATCTGTTTATTGTGAACACGTTGTGGTAATAATTTGTGCCGTACTGGTGTCGTGGTGAGCTGCATCATGTTGTTTGTCATGAATTTTTGGTAAGTTCTGATGTTTGTGTCGTTTCTGTTTGTACGTGTGATTATATAGTTCTGATGTTTGTGTCGTTTCAGTTTGTACGTGTGATTATATAGTTCTGATGTTTGTGTCGTTTCTGTTTGTACGTGTGATTAAATAGTTCTGATGTTTGTGTCGTTTCTGTTTGTACATGTGATTATATAGTTCTGATGTTTGTGTCGTTTCTGTTTGTACGTGTGATTATATAGTTCTGATGTTTGTGTCGTTTCTGTTTGTACGTGTGATTATTTGCACTGTTTTTTGTGTGTGTGGTCTGTCTGTCTGTCTCTTGTCTCTCTTTGACTTGGTTTCTCTCTATATCTTCTCTCTCTCTCGCGCTCTCTCTCTCACTCTCTCTCTCTCTCTCTCTCTCTCTCTCTCTAATGGCTTAATATGGCGTAATTAATTGGACCCTAAGCCTTTTTAGAAAGAGGCGAACAAAGTGAGGGTGTTATTGTAAGTTGTCTATTAGGTTTAAGTGAGAGAGGAGCGGAGTGAGAGAGAGAGAGAGAGAGAGAGAGAGAGAGAGAGAGAGAGAGAGAGAGAGAGAGAGAGAACAGCTTTACACACATATATTCCCCAAAACGTCGCTAGATTTTCTTATTTCATTGCGATTATATAGCCCAACAGCAGGGGCGCTGTCATACAGAACAATTGTCCCCCCCCCCCACCCCCACAGGAAGCCTAAACACACCCCCAGCGGTTTCGTAGCCCCCTGATCAGAATCATCCTTTACATTTGATACTTCTATAAACAGTCAACTGCTGTCCATGTATGCTTACGAATTCTTACGAATTCTTTTCTTCTTCTTCTTCTTTTTCTTCTTCTTCTTCTTCTTCGCGTTTACCGGCAGCAAACTCCAGCGAATAGTTCTGGTTGTTCGTCCACCTCTGGACTTCAGTCTTCTTTTAGAACCTGAGTGTTACATGCACATCCATTTTACAGATCTGACTTATTTGTATGCAGATTTCTGGTTTGTTTGCCTCTCAGACAGAGGCACTTCCACGTCGAAGGAAACCCCACTTAGTTGACTCCTACGACATGCTTGTTATGGAGGCAGTGGGTCTGTTCTTGTTTGCCCTACAATGCAGGCCCAAGGATGCTTACGGATAAACAGCACAGGCTGTCAGGTGTCGCTACCTCACACGAAAACAAAAACCACGGATCAGATCAGTGTTCTTGCCTGGCCCTATCCGTATGGCCCGGCCAAATCTATTCGTCTTCCTCTTGCGACGGTTCCAGGTTCTTGAGTCTATTGCTTCCAAGAGCATGTGCGGAGAACGCCGAATGTCTTCGTCTAATTGTTCTCATCAGTTTATGACCCTAATCTGTCTCAGTAAGGACTGCTTCGTTTGTTTTCTGTCATTATGGTATTCTCCGCATGTTAGTAAGTTAGTTTGTTAGTTTAAGAACTGGCACAATTAGTCACCTGACGCTGGGAAGGATCTGAGCACATATGGACAGATCCGGAGTGCAGTGATCATATCCAAACGAACTAACTAATTAGATAGATAGTTAGTTTATTAGTTAGTTTATTTTAGTTAATTAGTTAGTTTAGTTAGTGAATGAGCTAGTCAGTCAGAAAACGGAGTATCCTCATAGCACATCGAACCGTTCGGCCCATAAGTGCTCGGATCCCCTCCTTAGTAAATCCCCCAGCCTGTAGCGGCTAACAACACCATATCTGTGATGGTTTCTTATTCTTCTTTGGCTTCCAGCGTAGTGCTCTTGTCTGGCCACACCCCCTTTTATCAAGTTGTTCTTGTATTCTAGCCATGGTTGCAGATTGACAGTCATCACTTGGTTCTCGCAAATGTCTTCTCGTAGACCATTCAGAAAATTTACCCGATCCATTGCTCGTCTGTCCTCCTTATAATGTCTAACTGCAAGCTTATGCCTTACAAGTTCTGTGCAGGTTTTTAACACTTTTTTTTTTTAAAGATTGAAATTGGCATATTCTTATTGGTGAGTAGTATTAGTACATTTTACCCCAGGGGGGACATCACACAAGCGATAAACACCCGATGACACAAAGTGCTACCATGTGGATGAGGATCACCCGTGGAGAGGTCCCGGAAACCGCGTTCAGCCATTAGCCATATTTATGGCCGTGCTTTATTGCGGCCCCTGGCAAGAGCCAGGGTGGGGCTTCAAAATAACGCAAAGTGGCACCCCACAAGGGAGTGACTAAGCATAAAGCTGTCAATTTGAAATTGGTGAGTGCCTTCTGCGTCTTGCTAAAGGCTACAGTTGCCATGATGATTCTTGTTTGCAATCTTTGCAAGGCATCATGCAGATGTTATGAGTGAGTTCATTCCCACCAGGTCCGTATAACGAGTGATAAACACCTGGTGACACAAAGTGTCACCATTTGGATGAGAATCTCTCGGCACAAGTGCCAAAACCCCCGGCAAAGCATTAGGTTATATTTAGCGCCGGGGTGGGCTTTAAAATAACTCACACACAGAATTACGTCCCATATTGAGGCGGATAATGATGATACTGCAGGGCTCAATCACGACCAGCTCTAGCTGGAGCCGGTCGTGGCTCAATAGAGGGAAGGTTGAGAAGAGGTAGACCAAGAAAGAGCTAGTTACAGAACCTGACTGACTGGACAGGCCTCAGACATGCAACCATGAAGTCCATCGCAACTGACGGCTGATCAGACAGTCAACAGAAACTGGTGACCCAACGACACGTAATGTTACGGGATGTTGAATGATGATAAGGGATGATATGACTGTTCCAAGAAAATGATGTGCTGACTTTTCTCTATATTTTGATTTCGCGAAATTGCTTTTGTGCTCACGGCTGTGTTTCATAAACGGACTTGTTTGGTTCGCCGCCATCACTTCCTTGGCACGCGTGTCTGCTCATTGTCACAGGGGTTATGTGTGCCGCTGCATCTCGGCGAAGGCATGGGTTCAATTAACGGGAAGGCAAATGTAAAAATATGTTACATAATGAAATTACTGGATACCTGGCGGCGCAGCACACAAGCCCCGCCAGCGCCGGTAACCCTTATATCAAACGCTCCACATTCTCAGTTGGCAACCGCCAGCGGGTTTTCGTTTCCGGTGCTTCTGATTTCCGGTATGTGAAATGGGTCACGACCTTTTCAGAAAAGGATGAAAGCGTGTGGGCCTTCTCCACAAGTCGCTCGCCTGCGGATCTGAAGTTGGTGGGTTCAGGGCCTGACAGGGCCGGACTTTGCAAAAATTACCTTGGCTCTCCGGGTCGACCCAGCATTAAAATGGGCACCAGGTAAAGTCGTAGCGAGTAAAGGCGGCCGGCGTGATGTTGACCACATCATTCACTGAGTGCCGATTGGTCTATAAAATATAGGTCTAGCTCCTATATCTTTTCCCGTGGCAACCTACGGTTGTGAGTCTTGGACTCTCACTCAGTCACTGAGGAATAAGATTAGAGCTTTTGAATTGAAAAGCTATAGAAAAATTCTTAAAATGCTTGGATCAGGAAGAGGAAAAACATCGACATTCTGAACGAGTTGAACATCAAGGAGAACTGGCTCATAAACAGCATCCTGTCCCGAAAGTTTAAGTAATTTGGCCACATCAAGAAGCACATGGGGCTGGAGAGCTGGCTAGAGAAAGAAATATTTTTAGGCGTGCCGTGAAGAGAGCGACGTTCTGTAAAGAACTTGCTGATTGATGATGATGAGCCCTATATTCCTAGTACGATGAAGGCGTGGGAAAGGGCCTTTTTTTAAACCTCTTCTCAAGCAGGAGGATGGAGGTGGAGGCAATCACTGCAGCTCTAGGGTGGATAGCAGAAAATACATTTACGAGAAGAATTGTGTCTGATTCTCTGTATGTGCTGCGGAAGGTTCACAAGGGACAAATGAGACATGATTGGATACCACGCATCAGCACCTCAGCATTACAGTAGTAGTAGTACTTTTACCCCACCAGGACATCACACAAGCGATAAACACCCGATGACACAAATTGCCACCTTGTGGATGAGGATCACCCGTGGAGAGGTCCCAGAAACCGCGTTCAGCCATTAGGCCATATTAATGGCCGGGTTATATTGCGGCCCCTGGCAAGAGCCAGGGTAGAGCTTCAAGATAACGAAAAATTGCATCCCACAAGGGGTTGACTATGACTACTCACAGCATTACATAGACTCAGCGTGGTTTGTACAGTCCATTATGGGTCTTGGGGCTGATGATGTCAGCTTGATGTGACGTCACCAGCCCTGGCTTACGATACGAATATAACTTTCAGTAAGGCGATCAATGTCTTAGAAATAGGGCGACCAATATATAGATCTACATTACTAGAAAGATCTACATTACGTAAGTGGATCCAGTAAAATCAAGGCAAGCAATCCAACTAAAGAAAAATATTTTAATATAATTAATTAGTATGGATTTTACAGTTGAATGGCTTATGTAATATCTTTTTGAAATGTATTAGTTCCTGAATAAAAAGTCGAAATAAATTCTATATTTTAAAAGGGGGGGGGGGGGGGGGATTGGGTACTGACTTGCTAAAGAATGCCCTATTTTCAGCATATTATATTAGTGGAATGTCCCGTTTTCAGTCGAAGGTGTTGTAGTCACAAGGGTCTTAGTTAGAACAACAGAAAAACAGAAACTAGTTACATTTTAGCTGGTGAATATCCAATATGTATCCTCATAATCCATGTGAAATATTTGAATACTAACCACTCAACCAATCACCTATAGTATACAGTAATTCTAAATGCTGAAAATTAGTGTGAGATAAGCCAGCTTTCTTTTCTTAGAGGATTTATCCAGCAGGGATGTATCATTTTGCCCTTTTACATAGTTTAAAAAAAAAAAAAAAACATTTGCCAGAGATGGCAGCGCTTTGGAAGCAATGTTTAAAATACAGACACGCAGACACCACCTATTTCATCATTGAAATATACGTGTAAACTACATGAAACAATATGCATGAGTAATTGTTGTGACCTTTGCAGGCTAGAAGTTTTGTTTCCAACTCAGCTGATATAAGCTTCTGCATAGCTGCACATGCTTCACAAGGCAATAAAAGTATCAACTTTGAAGGGTGCTTAAAACCTCGACGGTCAAGCAGCTGTATGTAGTCTGTGGACATTGCACTCGATTCAGAATCATATGCTAATGGCCAGTCCATCTGCAGTGAAGCCTTGCACGCGACACACTGAATTTCTGTTTGTTCAGCTTACTAGAGATAAATCCAGGAATTTATACCAGAGGCTCCTCCGAACCTTCCAAAACAAATATTCAATCATCGGGGTTTATTTGGAAAAAACAACATTGTTCACATCCAGCTGAACAGCATATGTAATTATATCATAGCCAAAATACCAGCTCTCTCATTGCTCAAAACTCCTGCATGCCCTGAATAGTTTATCCATGCAGATCCGTTGTTTGGTGTTCACTTGGTATCCACTCGTAATGCCTGACATCCCCGTGTGGGTTGCGGGTCCCTATTGTTGGGGGGGGGGGGGGGGAAACAAGAATATACCCACTGCCTCCCCACCAAGAATGTTGGAGTCGACTAATTGACGGAAAAAAAGGGGGAAGGGGGTTGGGGGGGGGGGGGGGGGGGTTCCTTCGTGGTCGGAGTGCATCTGCCAAAGCGCAAGAGCGGCAATGAACGACCAACTAGAAGTGAAACGGATGTACACGCAAAACTTAAAGCCAAAGTCCAAATAGATGAACAACCAGGATTTTTCGTCGGAGCTTACCGTCTATGAACAAAAAAGAAGAAGATGAAATGCTTAACAGACTTGACAAAACTCACACGAGGTGTCGGTAAATAATAATGACGTCGATTGATGTTCCATTGCCACACACGCTATGAAACATCGGGCTCCCAAAAACTGTGTTACGATTAACATGCCAACATCTGTACATCGTTAATTTCATGCCAGTCAGCCAAATTTGGCACCGTCTGTCCCGTTCGACATGCCGCGCAGTTTGACGAGCACTGGCCTAGACAATACAAGCAGGTATGTGAGTGTGTGACGCATGGCCTCTGTTTGCAGGCGCGCACAGATGTGCACAAAAAACACACAGTCGGTCATGTCGGTTTCTCAACAATTGTCAGACATCGTCGAGGTCATCTTCGGTAACGGGTTCTTCAGGTGGGGGGTCTCTGCAGGGCTGCCGAAGTTTGTAAGAATTTGGTACTATTTGATCCTAACGAGCAAAACTGTACTTTTGGTTACACGCCCGATGCTTTGGTACGTGTTAGAAATTTGGCATCAATATTTTAAATATTGACATTAGACGCTGGATTCAGTAGGGAAGACCGACGTCAGTTTTACAACTGGTCATGAAATTTCTGTCTTGTTAAAGAAGAACATTATAAACCAATAAGTAAAGAATGAAAGGAACTGATAGTGCAAGATCAACCACCACCTAATGTTGAAATACACAACAGAAAAGTATTGGTTTACAATTTCAAAAGAAAAAGTGGAGTTGGAAATCGCTTTCTGTTACTATCACAATTTATGCTTAGTCTGTTGACATTACCTCATTCCTCGACAGCAGCAGAAAGAGTTTTCTCTTCCCTTGACAGTATGAAGATTAAATTGGGTCTGTGTGGCTGACATTTGCCAGAGCTGACGTCACTTGTCAGACAGCATATTGGCAGTTGTGTGGGTTTTTTCTTGTCTGCTGCAGCGTGGCAGGCTTGCCTGTTGTTTGGCACATACTGTTTGAATTCATGCTGTAACAAGTGACTCTACCACACAAGCATAGGTACCAGAATCAAGGGGCTGCACATACTGTTTGAATTCATGCTGTAACAAGTGACTCTACCATACAAGCATAAGTACCAGAACCAAGGGGCTGCACATACTGTTTGAATTCATGCTGTAACAAGTGACTCTACCATACAAGCATAGGTACCAGAACCAAGGGGCTGCACATACTGTTTGAATTCATGCTGTAACAAGTGACTCTACCATACAAGCATAAGTACCAGAACCAAGGGGCTGCACATACTGTTTGAATTCATGCTGTAACAAGTGACTCTACCATACAAGCATAAGTACCAGAACCAAGGGGCTGCACATACTGTTTGAATTCATGCTGTAACAAGTGACTCTACCACACAAGCATAGGTACCAGAATCAAGGGGCTGCACATACTGTTTGAATTCATGCTGTAACAAGTGACTCTACCACACAAGCATAGGTACCAGAACCAAGGGGCTGCACATACTGTTTGAATTCATGCTGTAACAAGTGACTCTACCACACAAGCATAGGTACCAGAATCAAGGGGCTCAGGCATTACTGGCTTTGAGTGAACAAAATACAAGTAACGTTTGTTTTATTGGGGATACCTGGGTTGCCATAGGTGGAAAAGCAGTAGACAGTCAGCAGTGGAGATCACTTTTGAATTTTTCTACGCCAACTGCCACATAAAGAGGATATAGTAAAGTAAAGGACCTTTCCACGCCTTTATGCGTATTTGGCATATAGGGCTAGCCCTGTATTTGTATAGACTAGTCGGCACTTGGTGGGGGATGTGGGTAGCATCATGCCGGCTGCCTTTACTTTCCAGGACTCCACCCGGTACCCATTCAAGGCTGGGTCACGGCCGTGCTCCAGGAATAAATACAGGAAGTCGTGGCTGGGTCGACCTGCGAGCCAATGTCGTTTAAAAAAAAAAGTCCTTACTGTCAGGACCCGAATCCACAACCTGATCTGCAGATGTGCATCTAGCCACTACACCACAGCGCCCCCCCCCCCCCCCCCCCCCAAGTATAGAGATATATGTCAGTTATTAAATATGTTGAGTGATTCACTGTTATTTAGAATTTGTATATTTGTTTCCATAGGAAGGGGCGTAGGAAGGACAAGGATTCGCCCACTCCAACTGAAGAACAGAAGGAATACTTGGAAGATCCCAACATCAAGAACCGAATATCTGATGCTGACTTCTTCAGACTGGTGACGTTGCCCCCCATGCTGGATCTCAATGAGTGGCTGGCCACACATAGTGAGTTGACCAGTGCTTTTCCACTTTCATTGTTGCCAGTTGTAAGTTTGTCTGAGTTAAGAACCTGCACTATAGCACTTGGGAAATTCCTATAAGAGCTCCTTCACCATCTTCAGCAGCCAGTGGAGAGCTCCAGCTGCCATGGTAACAGTAGCACTTTGATTGGGTCTTTTTCCCGAGCTGAGTGTCGGGCAGATTCCCTGGTTACTTCCCGTTTCACCTTTCTGTTCAAACAGTGCCTGCACTGGGAATAATATACGCTGTTTCAGAGACTGTCAAAGACACAAGCGTAATTGGGATCACAAACCAGTAGACATCCTTAATCCTTCTTTGGTAGATTCTTGTTTTATTCTTGTCAACAGAATATTAGACCTGAAATTAGGACTCTTTTCATATCATTGCTACATCAGACATATGGTTACGTTAGCTGCATATCCTTTACAGAACATTGGAGAACTAACACCAGCATTTTTTGGCTGTTGTGGTTTTTCTAGACAAATTTACGTCCAGTAGTTTGCCATTGCTTTCTGAATGGTAGGCTTCTCGATATCACTGTTGAAACCAGCACAAGGCCCGCAAATGGGATTGAGCCCGTCACCTTGGTATAAAAAGGTGCATGTGCAACGCCTACACCAAAAATGACGACAGACATATGGTGCTAGACTCATATTGCTATAGAGCTGTCATCACTCAGTGGTATGATGTGGTCAGCATCATGTTGATGATTTGTACATCCCAGTTCAGTTTCTTATAGTATTTTAGCTTGTGTTGACCCAGAAACCCAATTTTAAAAATCCACTGAGATGTGGAATTGAACCCAGCCAGCAGGTAAATGTCCAGCAATTGGCAGTTGGCTCACCTCCTGCTTCCTAAAATATTGTCTGTCTTCTGTTTCTTCTTCTTCAGCATTCCGAGCCCTTGAGGTTAATTGCTGCAGATATCACCCGCGGCCACTCATCTCTCTGGTTTGCCTTCTCTTTCCTGTTGGTGACACCAAGAGTTTGCAGGTCTGTCTGGACATTATCTTTTCAGTGTCTTCTTGGTCTGCCTCATGGTCTACGACCATTCAGCTCTCTTGTGTGTACAGTTTTTACGTCTCTGTCATCTGGTATTATATCAATATGCCCCAGCCATTTCAGTCTATCATCTCTCATGATGCCAGTGGTCAATGTTGATTATGAATTTGTTGCTTCTCACTCTCCATTCCCCGTTGTTCGCATCTTTGTTGGGGCCAAAGATTCATCGTAAGACCCTGTTTTTGAAAATTTGTAATAAAGCTTCATCTCATTTAGTTGTACTACAAGTCAGTGTCACAGTGTTTCTCTGTGGGGCAAAAATATAATCCTAACCTACACAGCCTGTGATGACAACACTAGCCACACGGCTCTAAATAAATCTTCAGGCTTAGTGTCCTTTTCCTAACAGTGCAGAAGTGTAAATGTAGGCGTTAATAGCAGTTTAATGGCAGACAGCTCAAATATTCATGCTGGCAAGTTTCTATCTTGGCAGATGACAGTGTTATATTGTGCTATGGGGAGGCAGGGAAATCACAGTCCATGGCAATGGCGAGTAGCTAGAGTAAATCCAAATAGGCATATTAATTTTTTTTAAAAACAATAGACAAAAACAACAGAGTGCACATTTTTTTGCCAGGCAAGTTTTGCTGTTATCTCGTCAGGTGCATACTACAGTAACAATTACATTAATGAAGCAGATAAGTGTATCTTTCGTTACTGAAGTACAAATTCAACAACAATCAAACACAGCTGCCTGTTTTACCAGGGCAGCTGCAGTATTAATTCCAAATAGGCATTGTAAATTCAAATAGGCATAGTAATTCCAAATTGGCTAGTAAATTCAAATAGCCATATCAATTCCAAATAAGCATAGAAAATTCAAATAGCTGTATTAATTCCAAATTGGCTAGTAAATTCAAATAACTATATTAATTCCAAATAAGCATAGAAAATTCAAATAGCTGTATTAATTCCAAATAGGCATAGTCAATTCAAATAGGCATTGTAATTTCCAATTGGCACCTTCCCTCAGAGAGAATGAAGCCCACAGTCGATCAGCAGACTGGTTCCTGATTGGTTTTGGGTTTGTGTCAATTGTCTTCTGTTTGTAGATTAGGGGTGATACACTGCACACTTTGAATATTCAGCTAGCTATATTGGTTTGTGATTGAAGGGAGACGGTGGTAACAGAATGGAAAGAGACAAATGAATGGAGAGATAGGAGGAGGGGAGAGTGAGGTTGAGAATGCATTCTATAAAGACCCTTTTCCACGCCTTTAGGCATATTAGGCTAGACCTATATTTTGTAGACCCACCAGCACTCAGTCAGTGATATGGTCTGCATCACGCAGGCCACCTTGATTACGTAGGAATTTACCTAGTGCCCATTTAAAGCTGGCTAGACTTGGGAGCCAGGGTAATTTAGGGAGAAGAAAAGTATGATTCCTTCAGGACTTTAAATCCACATGCAAACATCTAGCTGATAGACCAGGGAGCATTTTGTGATTGATTTTAAATGTAAAAAATGCTAAAGGTAGATCCCTGAGAGAGAGAGAGAGAGCGAGCGAGAGAGAGGGAGGGAGAGAGAGAGAGAGAGTAGTGCAGGAGAATAGGAATCCTGTGTGGGTTCCGGGGCCCTATTGTGGGGAAAACAAGAATAGACCCACTGCCTCCCCAAAAGCATGTCGTAAGAGTCGACTAACTGGGGAGCTTCCTTTGAAGTCGGAGTGCATCTGCCTGAGAGGCAAGGAACCAGCAGTCTGCATTCAAGAGAATCAGATCTGTAAAACTGATGCACATGCAACACTCAGGTTCTGGAACAGGACTGCAGTCCAGAAGTGGACAAACAACCAGAACTTTACTCCAGAATGTACAGCTGGTGAACGCAAAGAAGAAGAAGAAGGAGGAGAATAGGAATAAGTAACATTCTGTAATTATTATTTTAAAGGTAAACAGCTGACATCGATGGGTTGCCCTGTTAAGAACAAGAGCTAGTCGAGCTTGTAAATCTGCTCGATGAAACATCAAGCTTGTTGTAGAGACGACTAATTAAGGATTTGCTGCAATCAGAAGTGTTGTTCCAATACATTAGAGATTTTGCAGCCCAGCTGTAAACCACAACATAGTATGCCAGCTGTTCTTTTAAGGCTGCAAGCAGAAAAAAATATAATGAATAAAATTCTCTACTTCAACAACACAAACTAGGTTAACTTGGGTTTAGGAGTCAGTGAAAATAGTTACACTGGAAACATTGTTATTTCAAGGCAGTTTTTATCCTTTAACTAAAACTTCCAAAGACAAAATCGATAATTTAAAGAAGAATTAACTATTCTGAGGGCATTACTTGAGGCTGTTTGATGTAGCCTGAGTTTTAAGCCTCCAGCGAGTTTAATCTTTTTTGGCGCAATTAGATCCTATATTTTCATCAATGTGCCATGTGTTGTAATATTTCTTTTTTTTTTGTTTATTGTGATAATTATTACGCACAACAAAGAGCGGAGTTTCAAAAAAATTGCAAATATGCGAATATTTCTTTGTAATGTTGTGATAATTATGATACCTTATGAATGATAGGTTTCATAAAAATGCCCTGCAGGAGTATTTTTTTTTTTCTTTTTTAAAGTTTATCACTGTAATGTAATGGGATATATTTCTTATATGTGTTATTAGGAAAATTTTAATGTTAAAGAAAAATGAAATGATTTTTACAAATATTTAATGTTTATGCACTTTGAATACAAAATATTTGTAGGAATACTGAACGATTCTTAGCAAACTAATAACAAATATTATGGGAAGTGAATTATTTTTGGTTTTAAACTAAAAATTTACGAATATTGATTTGGCATGTGTTGGAAATGTAAATGAGCATAGAAACAATAAATTATTCTATTATCCATGTTTAAATGAGATTTAAAAAAAAAAAAAGCATTCCTAGAGGTTTCAAAGATTTAGTTTTACAGAAGAAAGATAATAGAAACTAAGGACCAGTGATAGAACAGAACCACAGTTGGCAGAAAAACAGATGGGATTTAGGAGAAATAACAGCTGTACAGATGCAATCTTCACACTTTTAATAGAACACTGGATACGATAAGAACCAATTTGTGGCATTTGTAGATCATGAGAAGGTATTTAATAAAGTCGATAGACAAGTATTGTGGAAAGTAATGACTCGATAATATTGAAGAAGGTTGGCTATTCATCAACATCATCATGTGCCCTGCCAACTGGCGTAGGCGCTTATGCGTCTCCACAGATCACGATCCCTGGTTGCCTGGAACAGCTCTCTTGATGATATCCCTCCATGACATCATTTCAGTCCATCCAGCATCACCTCTCTTGGTCTGCCTCTACCCCTTTTTCTACTGATCTTTCCAGTTGTCACAATGTTCTCCAATGTCTTGGTTCTCATTATGTGGCCAAAGAACAGTGTTTGTCTCTTTTTTATTGTTGTAAATAGAGATCTACTTTCATTAGCTTCTTTCAAGCAGTCGTTGTTAGTTACTCTAGCCGTCCAAGGTATTCGTAACATTCGTCTCAGAAACCACATCTCTGTTGCTTCCAAATTCTTCCTAATTTGTTCACTGACATTCCAGGATTCACTGCCATACAGCAGAACAGGTTCTATGTAATATTTTAGCATCCTCTTTCTTACATTAAATGAGAGTGATTTTTTGCTAAGATATTTTTCATTTTCTAAAATGCAGCTTTCGCCTGACCTATTCTGATTTTAATCTCCGTCACACATTTTCCATCTGATTGTTCCCAGATATTTGAATTTATTGACTTGGTCAAGTCTTTTTCCTTCAGTTGAGATATCACAGCGTGGAGTTATCTTCTTCTTTAATATAACCATTACTTCCGTTTTCTTAATATTTAATGAAAGTCCTTTCTTAGCACTCTCCATCTCCACAATATCCAGCAGTTGTTGTAAATCACTTGCATTTTCAGCTATCAGAACTGTATTGTCTGCATAACGCAAATTGTTTATATTGTATCCTCCAACTCTTACTCCTGCATTCTCTTTAATTTTCCTCAAAATTAATTCACTATATAGAGAAAAGGTCTGGGGATAAGACACATCCCTGGCTTACTCCTTGCTTTATCTATTCAAAAGTACCCAGTCTGATTCCCACTTTAATTGCTGCTACTTGGTTCCAGTAAATGTTTTTAATTATTCTTTCCTGTCTACATTGATGTCTTCCAACATTTTTATCATCTCTTCATGTTTAACTTTGTCAAAGGCTTTGGTATAATCTATAAAGCACGAATATGTCTTTTTGTATGTCCATTGATTGGCTATTAAAGACGATAAAACACAGAGAGTTGAAATATTTTGGTCACTTGAAACATCACGAAAGTTTAGAGAGAACAGTAGTGGAGGGATATATGCCTGGAAAGAGAGGAAGAGGAAGGCCAAAGAGAAGATGGGTGCAGGATGTGGCATTTGATCTCCAGATGGGTGTATCAGATGCAGGACATCTTGCTTGTAATCAAGAAGTTTTCCTAAAGGTTGTTATGGGAGCAGGGTTCTACAAAGGACAGGCTACTGACTGACTAATGACTCGATATGGAGTGATCAGTTTTCACTGATATTTCTTACATTTATTTTCTGGTTTCAACCAAGGTTTTTCTGTATAAAACTATACACAAGGGAGATGAATGGTCGTAGACCACGAGGCAGACCAAGAAAACGATGGAGAGAGAATGTCCAGAGAGATTTGCAAACCCGTGGTGTAACCAACTGGAAAGAGAAGGCCAATCAGAAAGATGAGTAGAGGTGGGTGATATCTGCAGCAATGAAACTCAAGGGCTAAGAATGCTGAAGAAGAAGAAGAACCAAGGTTTTTCTAAGTGCTCTTGACTTTTGGCGAGTAGTATGATTTAGAGTTCCATATTTTGTTCATATTTTTCAAAGCTGCTGTTTCCCTGCTGATGCGTTAAAATCGTTTCTTTATTACTTGTGCCATAGCCCTAACATTTGAAATTTTTTTTTTTAAATTATGTGTTTATTTTATCCTCACTTGCTGACCGTGATGCTGACCACATCTTGTGCCTAATGGTCTCTAAAAATATAGGCCTAGCCCTGTATACCCTGTATGCCCTATACGCCTAAAGGCGTGGAAAAAGGAACCTTTACTTTTTTGTTAACTCACTTGCTCACCAGCAGTGTTTATCCCCACCTAGCTCACCAACGGTTTATATCCTGTGATTTGTCTCCGCAGCCATGTCATTTTTCAACCATGTGAACCTCATCTATGGAGCTGTCTCTGAGTATTGCACAGCTGAAACCTGTTCCTCTATGACAGCTCCAGATAATGTGTAAGTGCATGCTTTGTGTTTCTCTGTAGTAAGTCTGTTTTAGGAATTACTGAGTAGGAACAAGCACTAGGCAAAGACCAGAGGTAAACAAGTACTGGGCAAAGACCAGGGGTGTAGGTTTGTGAAAGCATGTGAACCTTATCTATAGAGGTGTCTCTGAGTATTGCACGGCTGAAACCTGTTCCTCCATGACAAATCCGGATAATGTGTGAGTGCATACTTTGTGTTTCTCTGTAGTAAGTCTGTTTTGGGAATTACTGAGTAGGAACAAGCACTAGGCAAAGACCAGAGGTGTAGGTTTGTGAAAGCATGTAAGAAAACATATAATTCTGAGAAAAATAATTTCTCCTTATGGTGCTCTTTATCCCTCACTGTAGCATAGACCATCTACCAACTGGTGCGAGGTCATCCTATTGCTTGCTATTGCATGAAGGTCACCCACCATATTCTCCCGACCTCTTTCTCTTCACTCTGTAATTCTCTTCCCTGTGTGTGTTTTTGTTGTGTGTGCATGTGTGTGTGGGCGGGGAGGATGGGGGGGGGGGGGGGGGGGGGGGGGGCGTCTGCATTTATTCCTTCCTGTCAGTTAAAATTGCACCATATTCACACCAGGTTTTCTCTGTTGATGTCTCATCCCCTTGATGGTTAACTGGTGAACAAATGTCCGATGAAGTCAGATGTGTCAGCCAAAAGGCTCAAATATCATAGCTGTTCTGTAATCAAGCACAGCGCAACTGTGAAGAAATATCACCCAATGTTAGTATCCTGACTTCGCGTCTAAAAATTGAACACAAAAGTTGCACCCAAAAAAAAAACAGACAAAAGTGAACTTAATAAAAGTTTATTAAAAACATAGTTTTACTTCTGTGAGAAAGAAATATAATTGAATTAGGTGTGTATATGTAAAATATGGTTACAGTTTTATGAACAGTTCTGTGAAAATGTTACAATATTAATTTTTTTAATCAGCATTACCAAATCATGAACCTTTGTTACAAAATTTATTTTACAGACAGTACTTCTGGGTTGATGATAAAGGCAAGAAGACCAAACAGACAGCTCCACAGTATATAGACTATGTCATGACTCATATACAGAAAGTCATTAACGATGAGTCTATTTTCCCTACAAAATATGGTACGTACTTCTCAGGGTTTCTATTCTGTTTATCTGCAGACACCCAGCAGCCAGTTTTCCACAGTTCTTCATTTGTTTGTTTTCAGAAATAATACTCAAGGTTTGATGTGTGTTGTGAGTGTATGTTATCTGGCAAACTAGTAGCTCAGTGGTTAGTATTTATTGTCTTGAAACCTACCAACCCCTCAGTCTGTCAACCCACCAGCACCTCACCCCACCAGCCCATTGATCAACAAGCTGCTTAACCCACCAGCCTATCAACCCACCAGCCCCTCAACCCACCAGCCCATTGTTCCACAAGCCGCCCAACCCACCGGCCCATTGTTCCACAAGCCGCCCAACCCACCGGCCCCTCAACCCACCGGCCCATTGTTCCACAAACCGCCCAACCCACCGGCCCCTCAACCCACCGTTCCACAAGCCACCCAACCCACCGGCCCATTGTTCCACAAGCCGCTCAACCCACCGGCCCATTGTTTCACAAGCCGCCCAACCCACCAGCCCATTGTTCCACAAGCCGCCCAACCCACCGGCCCATTGTTCCACAAGCCGCCCAACCCACCAGCCCCTCAACTCACCGGCCCATTGTTCCACAAGCCGCCCAACCCACCAGTCTGCCAGCTCATCAACCCACCAGCCCCTCAACCCATCAGCCCATCTGGGGGTCCGTCTCTGCCTGTCTTTACTGCCAATTTTGACCACTGTTCAGGGTGGTGTAGGACAAGGAGATCTTGAGTACTTGATGGATGATGTGGTCGGATTCATGCCTGGTCACTTTTACTTCCCTTTTGCTACCCAATTTAGGTTATAAACAAAAGAAAAGCATATAGAAAAAAAAACCAGATGGAAAACTCTTACATCTCCTATCTAGCACTGGCCGGTTTGTTTGCACCTTATGCTTTATAGGTAGTATTTTATCGTATTTTGGTTTTAACATTATGGCGTGACATTTAGTCATATATTAGAAAGTATTATTATGTTTTTAGTATATTATGGCATAACATTTTGTCATATATTAAGAAATACAGATATATTTAAAACACACGATATCACAACATTTGGTCATGTCTTTAAATTTACAGTTGTGGTTTAGCATATTATGACATGACATTTAGTCAAATATAAGGAATTATAGTTATGTTTTCTTTGACATTCAGGCATATATTAAAATGTATAGTTATTTTTTAATGACATTTAGTCATTATTAGGAAGCAGGTTATGTTTTTTATAACATTTCGGTAAAATTTTAGGAAGCAAAGTTATGTTTTAGCATACTATCATGAAATGTAATCATATATTAGTAAACACTGTTTTGTTTTAGCCTATTATATCACGAAATGTTAGGGTTTTATTGGAATTGCTATATTTTTTTTTTTTACCTTGTCATTACATTTAACAGTAAAAAAATGTCCATGGAAAGGCTGCAAGAGGGAGTGACCAAAAGAAATAAAATCAGGAATAAAGTTATAAGAGAAAAAGTTGACACAAAACCAGTACAAATTTACACAACCAGGACAGGTTTGTGCACTTAGAGAGAATGCTTTGGAATGTCATACCATGTAAGACATACACCAAAAGAGGAGAGGGACATAGAGCAAGAGGTAGACAAAGAACAATATGAAAAGATAATATCAGAGATCTCTACAACTGCACAGTGTGTCAATATGTAAGGTACGAGAAGAGAAAGAAGCAGAATCTTATATCCCCCTCAACACCAGAATTTTTAAAGCGAAGAAGAAGGCGATCATTACATTTAGCAGTACAGAATTTCATTGATTCATACTTGACAAATTTTGATGTTCCATTTAGTAATGTGGTGACCGACTCACTCTTTTCATTTTTTAAATTCAAACAGGAAACCCCTTTCCTCCTGATCTTGAAGCCACAGTCAAGCGAATCTACAAGTATTTGTTCCATGTGCTAGCTCATCTATACCATGCACACTACAAACTGCTGCGTCAGCTGGATCTGCATGCACACCTCAACACCCTCTTCACACATTTTATGGTATTCACCTCCAAATTTGACTTGGTTCAGGACAAGGAGTCAGACAACCTTCTGCTTCTCTTTTCACTCCTGCTGAAAAACTTAGCAGACCCCAGTCAGAATCCTAAACTCCGGGAGGGGCTAGGTTTAGGGGATGCTGTGTTAGGGCCACCTCACGATAAATCTACAGATATATCCAAGACAGTTGAAGACTCTGACAAATCAACAGCAGAAGTGACAACCACAGAAACCATCCAGGAATGCAACAATGATGGCCGTAACCTCCCTGCCTGTGATAAAGACTCTGGCTGCCATATTGATAATGGTACCTCACAACATAATGAACTAAATCGAATGTCACTCTCCCTCTCACTTTCCTCCCATCTGTCTTCTCATGAAGGAAAGGAGTTAGAGGGTGATATGATTGAGTCAGACCCTTCCAGATCTCCATCAGAATGGTTGTCTAACCTCCAGCTGTCTGCCACCTGACAAGAGCTAGCTCCTTCATCTGATGCCACACATCTCATATCATCTGCAATGACATCATGGTTAGCAAGGACACTACTGTTAGAAGTAGAAGTGTCTTTTTGTCAACACTGAATTGTTCCCTGAGCTTCAATTAAACAAAAGACGTGAGGTTTCCTGCTAATTCACTTGGTTGGAATGAACCAGATACAACACAGTGCAGCCTGATAACTCATGACTTCATAAACAGTGCTACAAAGAAGCATAATCTGTTGTCTTTATTTCGGTCCTGGAATGTTGCACAGCAGATGTCCAGGTGAGGAACTAACTACTACAAAAAATCACAAGGTCATTACCTTCATGGAGACTGAATAAATACATTGAAAGTAGCGGTTTTGAATCACGATTTACAAATTTCTCTGGCTAAATGTAGAAAAGTAAGAACACATAATGTTTTGATTGGGATTCGTTACTTTTAAAGAGGTGGTATACAGTGGAAATGGCCATTAGGGAAAGCAGATTTCTTTGGCATCCCCTGACCAAAAGTAGAAAAGTAAGGAAACACATTACCAATTGGTTGGGACTCATAGCAGAAGCCCTTTGTTCAGCATTGTTTGGGCTTGAAAGAGTGCAGAAATGAAAACTCTCTTCAAGAACAGCCTATTTAACTATTTGTCTCCCAACTGTTTCTCCATTAGAAAGCTTGAACTTTGAATACCAATGGCTGGAGTTAACACTGTTTCACCTTTAATCCACTGTCACAGAACCAAAACCATTGTTGATTCCATTGCTGCAATGTGGACATTATACATTTAATTCCTACGTGGGTTCTGGGGCCCCATTGTGAGGAAAACAAGAATATACCCACTGCCTCCTCAACCAGCGTGTTGTAGGAGTCGATTGATTGAAGGCATCCTTTAAAGTTGGTGTATCTGCCTGAGAGGCAAGGAACCAAGACTCTGCATCCACATAAACCAGATTTGTAAAATGGATATGCACACAACCCTCTGATTCTGGAGCCAGACTAAAGTCCAGAGGCGGACGACCAACCAGAACTTTCCGCTGCAGTTTACGGCTGGTAAACTCTTAAGAAGAAGAAGATACACTTAAAAGGTGCATGTTCCATGGAAAGTGAATACCCTAAAGGGTAGCCTACTCTGCATGAGTTTATCCACAGCCTCAAGCCAAGGGAAGTGTGGAATGTTTGATGTGTACATCTAGACCCGCTACTATATATGCATCTACTGTTTAACTGCTTGTACTCCTAAATAGAAGCACACACATTAATTACATTTTTGACCCTGACAAGGGTTTTGTGAGTGGCATCAATGACGGGCTTGGCTGCTTCGGGATGGTGTGCCTGGCGGCTGCCTTGGGGCGCTCAGTGGCAGATGTGTCACAGAAACACAGGCGTGATGATACGCTGCAATGGAAAAAATAAATTGGAATACCCAGGCAAAGAAACACAGTGCCAATACAAAAGGAGCTGGAAATGTTTGGTCTTTTTACAAATAACGAACAAACTGCTTGTACGCATAAACATTTTTTTTTTGGGTGCATTGCTGATGTATGTTTGTGAGATATTATGCTGCACATGTTCACAGCGAGTGTATTGGCTTCAAGATGCTAATTATCTTTCAGGTCTTGTAAATATATATAGTTCTATTACTATGTGCCCAGTATTTCTAAAGCCATGTAAGAGGGTTTCTTTTTACTTGTCTGTGCAAATACATGAACATGAAAGCTGAACACCAGGAGAAGCAGAAAAGGCATTTGATAGGCATCCGACTGCAGAGACAATATTTTATGGATAGAAGAATTACCTCTTTATGTGCTTAGATCAGGAGCCACGGTAGTCTTCTTCTTCGCGTTCACCAGCTGTAAACTCTGGCGGAAGGTTCTGGTTGCTCGTCCACTACTGAACTGCAGTCCTGCTCCAGAAGCTGAGTGTTGCGTGTGCATCAGTTTTACAGATCTCATTCTCTTGAATACAGACTGTTGGTTCCTTGCCTCTCCGGCAGATGCACTCCGACTTCAAAGGAAGCTCCCCAATTAGTCGACTCTTACGACATGCTTTTGGGGAGGCAGTGGGTCTATTCTTGTTTTCCCCACAATGGGGCCCCGGAAACCACAAGGGGGGCCATGGTAGTGTAGTGGCTGGACATTTGCCTGATGACCTGAAGGTCTTAGGTTCGAATCTGCACCACGCCAAATTATTTTGATCATTTGGAAACAAAATTGGCATTGGCTATCAGGTCGATCCAGCCTAAATTGGGTACTTGGAAAGTTCTGAAAAGTAAAGTTGGCAGGGGTCACGCTGACCACATCATCCACTGAATATCGATTAGTCTAAATATATCAGTCTGGCATCATATGCCCAGTGCAGCACTGGCATGGGAAAAGTCCTTGACTTTACCGTCTGCTTAGGCAAGCAGCTGGTGCCGAGGTAAAATATTCAACCACCAGGGTATTCAAAACAATGTTTTCCTGTTATAAATTTAAATAATGCAGACACATACAATACATTTCACCATTTATTGCCTGGCATATTTTGCTGTACCTCGTCAGGTGAGTTACTATCCACTCGCTTCACTGTTGGTTGTGGGAGGTGATGCTTCAGAAATTCAGAACTATGTTTTCACTTTGTAAATTTAAATAATGTGGACACACACAATACGTCACCATTTATTGCCTGGCATATTTCGCTGTACCTCGTCATATGAGTTACTATCCACTTGTTTCACTGTTGGTGACGCTTCAGAAATTCAGAACTATGTTTTCCCCTTTGTAAATTTAAATAATATGGACACAAACAATACATTGCGATTGTTAAAGCTGTTAAGAAAACATGCAGAAATTCAACATACATCAGAAGTATATGAGAAGTTGAAATGGTCTGCTTCATGTTATCACAGTCATGAACAAACAAAGAAAATAAATGTTGCTGTTAGGAAGCCTTCATCAGCATGTGACACAAATGGACAGTCATGGCTTTATTTCCCCCTGACAGTATGAATTTTTTTTTTTTAAGGAATCAAATTTTCAATGCTCCAAAATAGACAGTTTTTGTTATGTACCTGCACTTTGGAAATTTTTTTTTTTTTTAGCAAGTTTATGTTGAGTACCTGCAACTTCCTAAAATGGGTACCAGGATGGGCTGTCCTGGGAAAGTAAAGACAGCCGGCGTAATGCTGACCACATTACCCACAGAGTGCTAATGGTCTGTAAAAATATGGGACGCTCTGCCCATATGCCCGATGCGCCGAAAGGCGTGAAAAGGGATCTTTACTTTTTTTTTTTTTTACTTACCTGCAACTCTATATCCAGAAGAAAAAACCCTGGATACAGTTATTACCAAAAATACACACAATCACATATCTGCGAGTTAGGGTTTCTGCTGGAAATATCTTCTTCTTCTTCTTCGTGTTCACCAGCTGTACACTCTGGCGTAAAGTTCTGGTTGTTCGTCCACTTCTGGACTGCAGTCATGCTCCAGAACCTGAGTGTTGCATGTGCATCAGTTTTTCAGATCTGATTCAATTGAATGCAGACTGCTGGTTCCTTGCCTCTCAGGCAGATGCACTCCGACTTCAAAGGAAGCTCCCCAGTTAGTCGACTCTTACGACATGCTTTTGGGGAGGCAGTGGGTCTATTCTTGTTTTCCCCACAATAGGGCCCCGGAACCCACACGGGGGGCTGGAAATATCTGTCACACATCTCATGGATCTGAGATTGTTTTCCTGCAGTAGTGATCTTCTTCTTCTACTTCTTCTTCTACTTCTTCTTCTACTTCTTCTTCTACTTCTTCTTCTACTTCTTCTTCTTCTACTTCTTCTACTTCTTCTACTTCTTCTTCTTCTACTTCTTCTTCTACTTCTTCTTCTACTTCTTCTTCTTCTTCTTCTACTTCTTCTTCTACTTCTTCTTCTTCTACTTCTTCTTCTACTTCTTCTTCTTCTACTTCTTCTTCTACTTCTTCTTCTTCTACTTCTTCTTCTACTTCTTCTTCTTCTACTTCTTCTTCTACTTCTTCTTCTACTTCTTCTTCTACTTCTTCTTCTTCTACTTCTTCTTCTACTTCTTCTTCTACTTCTTCTTCTTCTACTTCTTCTTCTACTTCTTCTTCTTCTACTTCTTCTTCTACTTCTTCTACTACTTAGTGTTCACTGACTGTAAACTCCAGAAAAGTTCTGCTTCTTCATCCACTTCTGGTTTTGTTTTTGCATGCCCATCTGTTTTACAGATCTGGCTTACTTGTAAGCAGACTGTTTGTTACCCACCTCTCAGGCAGATGCACTCTTGACTTTGAAGGAAAAGACCCCTAAGTAGTCGCCTCTTATGACAAAGGTGCACTAGGTCTGTTCTTTTTTGTTTTTCAGTATCCTAATATGGGGCCCTATATCCAACACGGGGATAACTTGCGATAATTATCACGTATCCTATGGTGACTTTAGGAGTCACTGTGGCGTTGGCAGCTAGACACCCACCAGCGGATTGGAAGGTCGTGGGTTCGCGTCCTGGTAGAGCCTGACTTTTTTTTTTCAAACTTGACCTTGACTCCCAGGTTGACCCAGCCTTGAGTGGGTACCAGGTGCAGTCCTGGAAAGTAAAAGCGGCCGGCGTGATGCTGACCACATCACCCACCAATTAGTTTTAGCCCTATATTCCCAATACGCCTAAAGGCGGGGAAAAGGGACCTTTACTTTTTATGATGAGTTTACATTGATGGATATAACCCACTGCTGTCACCCGTGTGGGTTCCGGGGCCCCATTGTGGGGAAAACAAGAATAGACCCACTGCCTCCCCAAAAGCATGTCGTAAGAGTCGACTAATTGGGGAGCTTCCTTTGAAGTCGGAGTGCAACTGCCGGAGGGGCAAGGAACCAACAGTCTGTATTCAAGAGAATGAGATCTGTAAAACTGATGCACACGCAACACTGAGGTTCTGGAGCAGGACTGCAGTTCAGTAGTGGACGAGCTACCAGAACCTTCCGCCAGAGTGTACAGCTGGTGAACGCAAAGAA